TGAAAGAAGAAGGTAGTAGTACTAGTTAGGGAATTTTAACATTTTCACATAATAAATAGGCTCTGTCTTTTGTTCTTTTCAAACCACAAACAAGTTCATTGATCATTTAGGCATACAAGCAGTCATTTTTCTATCGAAACCACAACTTACAAGTGTAAAATAATTTTAAAAACAACAAATAAAAGAAAGAACTACGAAAAAATGACTTGAGTGGAAATCTAAGACTTGCCGAAAGAAAAGAGAGAAAGAGGTAATTCATGTAGAAATTAATAGACTAACACGCAAAGGCGACCAGCGATTCGTTCAGCAGGGCAGACAAACGTCAAACGTTAGGGATATGAAAGTTTATGTCGAGGCTTCTGAAACTTTAGACGTGATTTGCTGATGTAGTTTGTTGAATTATGATTTGGATTGTTGAAAATATATGTTTTTTTTTTCATTTCATATAATTTTGGAATAATTTTAGTTCAGTTTAGATATCAGGTGAGGACATGTGTTGTAAACTTGTTAAACTATATGCCAATACTGATGAATTTAATTTACTTTCTATGATTATTTGATTTCAGTAGGTTGGTTGTAATTTGTATTGTTAATTTGGTATTTTTCTGAAAAGTAAAAATTGTATATTTTTTAATTTAATAAAATTAATGTTTTAATTAAAAAATTTAAAAGCAGTTAGGTTCGATTTGCGTGGTTTTTGAAAATCAAAACCTAAACCAACGGTTTGAAATGGTTTGAGGGAAAAAATCACGGGTCCACATGGACTCGAACCAAAGGTTTTAACTTAACGATTTTTGTTCGATTTGCGATTTCGCGATTTTTTTGTGCAGCCCTAGTACATTTCTATAAACGATGTACTCCTTGTTCATTCGTTCGAAATTCACCGCAGTAGCAAATTGTGATACAAGTTGATGCCATATTTGCATTATGAATTAAAATAGAAGAAAATAATTAGATAAAAGGTAGTAAGTGTGGAGGCCAAAAAAACCAAAAAAAAAAAAAAAAAAAAAAGGATAGGAAGTATGGAGGTTAAAAAAAAAAAAAAAAATTGGCAGGCAGTCCGGATCCCGACTTGGCTTGGATCTTTTTTTTCGATTTCATTTTCATTTATTTTTGTAAATATTTTAAGAAGGAATTAAATTAAATATTAATATTTTTATTGAACTAAGTGTTTTAAAAAATAATTAAATAAAGTAGTTGAATATTAAGAAATGAAAAGTGTTTGGTTTTTTAATTTGTAACTTAAGGATATATTTGTCTTTTTAAACAAAATTATGCCTTTGTAATTGTACAAACTGCTTAAGGGTATTTTTGTCTTTTAATCTACAAAAGGCCATTTTGATGATTGACAATTTTTTTTGACTAAAGTGGTGAAGTGGCACTTTGACATTGCTTTACTTAAAAGTACCCCGAACCAACGCACAAAGTTATTACCTTCAGGTTCCAATGTGCCTCTTTTTAACTTAGTTACGACCCACTATACAATTTCCAGTGCAACTTCAAGCTCAATTTTGCTCTATATATGTAATGCGATGTAAATTTGGCGCTATTATTTTTTCAAACATTTAACGGTTAAATTGATGTCAATTACAAACTAATTGAATTGTCGATGGATATTTTGGGATGTTTTCCTGTTCTTTCCTTTTGGAGACGTTCAAATGGGTATCATTGTTATAGGAATCTGCTTAAATGGAATCCTGATAGTATTTAGAAATCAAATTTAACGTTCTTATTTTCTAGTATTCTCGTTTCTTTTTACTTGTTCTACAGTTACTTTTAAGTGTAGGGAATGGAAAAATGTTTCTTGGGTGGTGGTAGTTGTCCTGGTACAATTCTTGATTATTAAAAAAAGGTTGAACCCCAACCTTGAGGGCTCCCATCGTCCCGCTCCTAGAACTTTGTGAGAGAGGTAAATAGCGGGATGTGTCCAAGTAGGCCAAGGAACAAGAGCTGCCTGTACACTGCGATTACAAGGAGTCCAATTCCATATCTTAGAAATCGAACCCCCACACTGCGACTGTCAGCAAGGGGTGAAATAACCTCACTCATGTCCTTTGCACCACTGGACCGTGCCCCGGGGGCACAATTCCTGATTATTTCATGAAGGGTTGGCTCTCGTGCTACTCTTGTTATTTAATTTATTTTGTGCCGTATGGTTCAGAAATGTTAACAATATAAAATCAACTTCTCAACTCTTTGCCTGATGTCTGGTCGTTTCTGGAACTGCGTCTTTGTTTGATTGCATATTTTCACCTTTCGTATTGTAATGAATAAATAAATAGCAAATGCACTTCCGTACACAAGCTAGTTTGGCAAATAGAGCTTTATGCACATATTGATAGTGTGTTTCTAGTTAGATATTGTTTATCTTCTAGCTAATTGCTGCTGTGTCAGCTTTGAGTTCAATGTGTATGTCTAAAAACTTAGGTCCTTGTTATTGCTCGCCCTTCTTCCCATCCATTTCACATAAAATTAATGGTAGTCTTTGTTGTTCTGTTGTTTCTATTATTTGTTCCATTTGCGAGTGTTTAGTCACTTTACTATCTTAGAGGAGCCATATATGAGTTTTAAAGTTATTCATGTAACTGATGCAGATAGTATTCTGCTGATATCAAGTCCATGTCATGGAAATATCATATGAGGCTTCTTCCAAGAAACCAAAAAGGTTGACTTCTGTCATATGGAATCATTTTGAAAGAGTTGGAAAAGCAGACACGTGCTCTTTTATTTGTGTCCACTACAAAAAGAAATGAATCGGATCTAGTAAAAGTGGTACAATGCATCTTAAGGAATCATTTAATCCGATGTCTGAAGAGATCAAATTATGATGTTTCTAAAATATTTACTATGAAGAAGAGGAGAAAAAGAAAGTACTGTTGGTGTCAAACAGTCAGCTATGAAGAGGGGGAAATAAAAGAAGAAATCATTAGTGCAGTGCCATATAGTTTTGTTCAAGAGCAAAAGAAAGAAGCAACCATTCAACCATGAATACAGGAGGTGCTAAATTTGATCAAGTTCGGATTCAGTTGGATCTTGCCCATATAATTATGTTACTTGGTTGTCCCTTATCCATGGTCGAGGATGTTGGATTCAAAATATTTGTGAAGAATCTGAAGCCCTCATTTGACATCATGAATAATAATGCTATTGAACTTGACTGCATGACCATATATGGTCAGGAGAAGCAGAAGGTATTTGAGATCATACATCATTTGGATGATAGAGTTAACCTTGCTGTTGGTATGGAGGTTTTGCCCGAAAATTCTGATTATATGTTGCCGACAGCGAATTATATTGATTTTGATTGGAGGCTTCAGAAGAAGACTCTTAACTTCATAAAACTGGATCTCACTCATACTAGTGACATACTTGCAGAAGTTATTATTAAATGTCTGAAGGACTGGGCTATTGACCGAAGGTTGCTTTTTATGACATTTGATGATTGTTCTGCCCATTACATTATGTTCTTCAGGATCAAGGACTGGCTATCTGAAAACAAACTTCTTTTGAGAAATGGTGAGTTGTTTGATGTATGCTGCGTGACCCAACTTTTGAAATCCATTTTTCAAGATGTAATGGAAACAGTTCGAAATGTGACCAATAAAATTTGAGAAAGTTTAAGGCACATTAGAAGTTCACAAGGAATCCAAGGAAAACTAAATGAGATTGCCCAACAAGTTGGAATCAATACTGCGAGAAGTTTAGTTCTTGACTGCCCAATGCAATGGAATTCAACATATGTGATGCTTGAAGCAGCATCAGAATAGAGGAGTGCTTTTTCTCTCCTGCAAGAGCATGATCCTGCCTACACTTATCTGATGTGGAGTGGGAATGGGTAAGTTAAATGTTACATGAAACTCCTTGTTGAGTATGCCATTGTTTTTGCTGGATCCAAACGTCCAACCTCCAATATTTATTTCCCGGAGATATGTGATATGCACATTCATTTAATTGAATGTGTAAGAACCCAGATGGTTTTCTTTGTTCTATGGCATTAAAGATGAAGAAGAACAAGTTTGACAAGTACTGGAGCAAATGCAGTTTGGTTTTGGCTGTAGCAGCAATCTTAGATCCTCGCTTCAAAATGAAATTAGTTGATTATTATTATCCCCAGATTTACGGATCACATGAAGGAAGTTTTTGATGGTATTAGGGAACTTTTCAACGAGTACTCTAGGGCTCAACTACATTGGATGAAGAATCAGCTCGGTCTGGAGGAAGCTTAGCCAGTACTATGGTAGTAGAAATGAACTTAAGGGCTTCAACAAGTTCTTATATGAAACCTCACAATATCAGAGCACGACATCGGATCTGGACAAGTATTTAGACGAACCCGCCTTTCCACGTAATAATGATTTCAGCGAAATAAATGCGTGGAAAGTTCACACCCCCAGGTATCCCATCCTATCTATGATGGCACGTGATGTTTTGGGTATTCCCATGTCTACTCTTGGAAAGGAGGTAGCATTTAGCAACAGAGGTAGAGTGCTTGACCATCATCGAAGTTCAGTCTGTCCAGATTTGAGAGAAGCTCTGATATGTGGCCAAGATGCCGTTATCTTCTCCATGGAGAGAGAGAGAGAGATAGAGAGAGAGAGACAGAGAGAGACAGAGAGAAGAAATAAGCAACAAATGGTCTGGGATTAAAATGCACTTGGATGCGTGAGGAAGAGAAATGCTATATACTGGCTATGGGCTGTTTAGATACTAGTTACAGAGAGAAATAGGAGATGGTTGGGAAGGTGACGCCGTGGGGCTCAGAATTATCCCAAAAATATATGTTGAAATGAGTTGCTTGATTCCCTCGTGTCACAGAAAAATCGCTCCATAAAGAGGAAAACAAAAATCAATTTCTATGTCTTACAGAGATCTAGATATCAAGATTGCAAAAATCATTGTCATTCCTGACTTATAGAACATTACACATTGAAAAATTCACATTAACTAACTGCTCCAATTAAGAAAAGCCGACACATGAAGGTTAAATTGAAGTTCTAATATAAGCAATAATAATATTTAGAAGCAACTGAAAATCTCTGAAAATGAAATGGAAGAAAATGTATAAAACACGCATCAAGGAAATATAAATGTATCTTTGTGAGTAGGAACAAACCTTCTCTAATAGAAACCATAGCCATAGGGGGGTTGTGGCCTCGTCAGCGGATGAAAATACCTGTATCGAGTGGGTAGCTGCTCTGGGTACCACCGCGGATAATAAGAGCTTCTAATAGGATACCAAGGATTTGGTCCACCGTAATGCCCAGGAAAATGATCCAACATGCTGGCACTACTTTCGTTTGCAGGCACACGATCAGTAATTTTTAGACTTCTTGGATGGATTTTGCAAAAATAATCCCTACAAACAAAATCTTTAACCTTGGGAGGTCCTTCATAAGCTTCGCATTTATGCTCATTATTTTCCTTTGTCTTGTGATAATTTCCATCTAAACAGTAGCAACAACTTTTAAGCGTTTTCTCCTTAAAATAATCCCTACAAACAAAATCTTTCACCTTGGGGGGTCCTTCATAAGCTTCGCATTTATGCTTATTATTTTCCTTTGTCTTGTGACAATTTTCATCTAAACAGCAGCAGCAACTTTTATGCATTTTCCCCTTAAAATAATCCCTACAAACAAAATCTTTCACCTTGGGGGGTTCTTCATAAGCTTCGCATTTATGCTTATTATTTTCCTTTGTCTTATGACAATTTCCATCTAAACAACAGCAGCAACTTTTATGCATTTTTCCCTTCCTACAAACAAAATCTTTAACCTTGGGGGGTCCTTCATAAGCTTCGCATTTATGCTCATTATTTTCCTTTGTCTTGTGACACTTTCCATCTAAACAGTAGCAGCAATTTTTATGCATTTTCCCGTTAAAATGATAGTTACTTTCGTTTTTTGAATCTCCATCTCCCATAGTTTTTGTGGTGTTTGGTTTTTTCTCCCCAACATTGTTTGTGTCGCAAAATACAACTTTTGCTTTTTTCCCTATCTCTACGTAAATAAGTTTTCTGAGGGTATCTGAATCCATTGTTCCTGAGATTGATAAAAGATTTTTTTCTGTATCTATGGCCAGTGAAGACACCCCTACTGCACACAAAGAATATATAATGAGCTAAAAATAGGAAAAAGAAAAAAAATGATGAGCAAAAATCATTATCCCTACTAGACTGTAATTACCTGTCAGTTTCAACAATGCTTTCTCTAGTTTCTTTGGACATTCTTCACAGCAATTGAGATTCACTTTCAGTACAATATTCTGGAAGAGATCAATCAAATGTTCAAACCAAACAAAAAATAGCAAATAGGGATTTCCCCCCTTTTTGGCGACTGTTGAGCTTGAAAATAAATCAAGATTTACTTTCTAAATATTAGAACATGAAATGATAATTCACCTTGTCAATATTTTCCATCACGATCTCTTCGACTTCTGCTATTCGCATTGCTCTTTACGCCTTGGCCTGATAAAGGCAACACAAGAGAGAATATGATCCCTCAAGCATTGTCCTAATAAAAAAGACTTATCACACCCAAATTTATAATCAAGCATGTTTCCAATGGATTATTATGTCATTTTAGAAATTTTTAATACACAAGATTTCTTCATGAGCAAAAAAACCTAGTAAAATTTTTCTTCGTAGCCCAAAAAACCCCAAAATTTACACTTAAGAAGGTAAATATCAAAGAAATAATAAGTTAGCATTAAAAATAGGGAAAAAATACACAAAAGTTCTAACTTCAATCTGGAAAAGTTAAGGCTTAATTAGTAATTATAGACACCCTAGCAATGAAATTCGTGGCTGCTGAAACCTGATGGTTTTTGTCGTAGTGATGAGATTGGATTAGATGGTTTAATATATTTGTATGGGATAATTTTGGAAGTAGAAAATAATTGGCCTTTCGTTGGAAGTTAATAGTATGAAAGATTTTGGTAGAAAGTAATTTAGTAGACAAAGTGGGTAGGAAAAATGAACTTTATTAGAATGACAATGACTTTTGCTTACAATGGCTTTTTAGGCTTAGATACAAATGAGAGACTCATATCTTATTTATAGACCATTGCTTACATATGATTACTTCTAGATAATTTTACACGTGTCTACAAACCTCACAAGCTTTCTTGATGCCCAAGTTTCTTTAGGGAATTCTAGATAATTTTGACTTTTATTAGTCTTGCTTGATATTCTTGCCAAGCAATTTTAGGATCTTCTAGAAAATTCCTAAAATATGCATCAACCATTAATACTCCTCCTTGATGCATATTTTGGTAACTCTAATCATTTCTCGTAGTATTTTGAACTTTGCTTGTGCGAGCGCCTTTGTAAATATCTCTATTAATTGTTCTTCAATCTTGCAATGTTTGAACTCTATCTCTTTATTTGCTTCAGCTTCTCTGATGAAATGGTACTTGATGCTAATGTGTTTGGTTCTGCTGTGGAATAAGAGATTCTTGGCCATTGCTATTGATGACTTGCTGCCGCAATAGATCTTTGTTGCTTCATTTTGTGGTTCTCCCATGTTTTCAAGTATACGTTTTAACTATATAGCTTGACTCGTTGCTATTGCAGCTGCAATATACTCTGCTTCAGCTGATGATTGTGCGACCATTGCCTGTTTCTTTGATGTCCAAGAGAATATTCTGGAGCCTAGTGTGAATGCGTAGCCTGATGTGCTCTTCATATCATCTATTGGTCCTGCCCAATCCCTATCAGTATACCCAAGTAGTCTTGAGTTAGACGTAGATCGATACCTTATTCCATAGTCTTTTGTTCCTTGGAGGTATCTTAGTATCCTCTTCACGGCTCCATAGTGAACTTGACTTGGATTTTGCATGAATCTTGAAAGTAGGCTGATTGCATACATTATGTCTGGCCTTGTAGCTGTGAGATAAAGCAAACTTCCAATTAAGCTTTGAAATTGTGAACTGTCTACTTTTGGAGTGCCATTTTCTTTTCTAAGTGATTTGTTGCTATCCAGAGGTGTTGTTACTGTTTTGCAACCTTCAATCTTGAACTTCTTTAATAGACTGGTGGTATACTTCTTTTGAGCAATGAAGATCCCATCTTCAAATTGAGCTATCTCGATCCCAAGAAAATAGTGCATTAATCCCAGATCAGTCGTCTCGAACGTTTTCATCATATCTTCCTTGAATTTCTTGATCATCTTCTCATCATTCTCTATATAGATGAGATCATCAACATATAAAGAGATTATAAGTGTACTACTTGTACCTTGATTTTTGATGTATAGAGTTGGTTCACTTTGGCTCCTCCTGAATCCTTACTCACTGAAGTAATTGTCTATTTTGCTATACCACGCTCGTGGAGCTTGTTTTAATCCGTATAGGGCTTTCTTTAGTTTGAGAACTTTATCTTCTTTTTCTCGTACCATGTACTCTTGAGGTTGCTCTATATAAATTTATTCTTCAAGATAGCCATTAAGAATGTTGATTTGACGTCTAGTTGGTAAATCTTCCACTTTTTCTGTGTAGCTAGTGCAATCAACGCCCTTATAGCGTCAAATCGTACAACTGGAGAAAATGTCTCAGTGTAGTCGATGCCAAAATGTTGTGAGTATCCTTTGGCGACTAGTCTTACTTTATGTTTTTGGATTGAGCCATCAGAATTGAGCTTTGTCTTATAGACCCACTTAACTCCTATGACTTCTTTGTCTTAAGGAAGATCTACAAGTTCTCAAGTGTTGTTTTTCTCTATCATTTTTATTTCTTCATCTATAGCATTTCTCCATTCTAGTTGTTTTGAAGCTGCTTCATAGCTTTCAGGTTCAACAATCATCAAGTTGCCGCTTTGATATATTTCCGATAATCTTTGTGTCTTTCTTGGTAATGATTTTGGTGAGTCAACTGGTTCTTCTATTGTTGCTTGCTGTGGGGACTCTGGTTGATTGTTTTCTTCAACGTCACCCTCCTGCTTTTCTGGTTGTGTAAGGATGCTGATAGCTTTTCTCTCGATTTGACAAGTCTCCCAGTTATAGGTGGCATCTTCATCAAACTGAACATCTCGACTTATAATCAGCTTTTTTGTTCTTAGGTTATATATTCGATAGCCTTTTGATTGAGTACTATAACCTAAGAAGATTCCTTTTTCTGTTTTTCATCTAGTTTACCTCTTTTCTCCTGTGGAATATGTGTGTAGTAGATGCAGTCAAAAACTCTGATATGCTCTGCTGATGGTTTTCGTCCGCTCCATGCATCCATTGGCATTTTGTCTTGCACAGCTTTAGTTGGACATCGATTTAGTAGGTAGACTGTAGTCCTTACTGCTTCTGCCTCGAAAGTTTTTTGAAAACTTTTCTCCATTAGCATAGCTCTAGTTGTCTCCATTACTATTCTATTATTTCTTTCTCGACACGCCATTTTGTTCAAGCACCTATTCAACTGTGAGTTGATGCTCCATTCCTTCATCTTCACAAAATTTGTTGAATTCATTTGATGTATATTCTTTGACTCTATCGCTTCTAATAGTTTTGATATTGCAACCACTTTGCTTTTCAACAAAGCTTTTAAACCTTTTAAAAATCTCAAATACTTGGGATTTTTCACGTAAGAAATATACCCATATCATTCTAGTGTAGTCATCAATGAAGAGAATGAAGCACCTATTTTGCTCATGTGATTGAGTACGCATCAGACCACATACATTTGTATGTATTAGCTCTAATAGCTTTTTAACTCTCCAAGATTTTTTGGATGGAAACGGTTGGCGATGTTGTTTTTCGAGCAAACATCCTTCGCAAACTGCATCAATCTTTTTTATGACTAGTAAGTCTCTCATCATGCTTTTTTGCTGCAGAATCTTCAACCTATGGAAGTGAAAATGTCCAAATCTTTTGTGCCACAATCATGACTCGCCCACTTGTGCCATAATTGCCGCACTTTTTTCATATCTCCATTGGATTGGAAAGTATCTGTTCTCACGTTTTTTAACTTTTGCAATTACAAGAGATTTATCTTTCTTGTCGTAGATCGTGGAAGAATCTTCTTCAAAGTGTAATGTATATCCTTTCTTCATCATTTGACCTACACTTAATAGATTTTGATCTATTGTAGGGACTAAGAGAACTTCATTGATATATCTCTTGCCCTTTTTAGTGTCAATAGTAATAATGCCTTTACCTGTTGCCTCTATAAAATTTCCATTGCCAATCTTGATTTTTGCCTTGATTTTATCAAGATTACAGAAAATACTTTCGTCTTTTGTAATACGATTACTGCAACCATTGTCTAGATATGATGTCTCAAGTTTGTCATGAGATGCATCCTTACTAGTGGCGTAAAATAAACTTCCTTCTTTATCTTTTTCTTCAGAGAAATTAGCTTGATGAATTTGTTTAGAATGACAAAATTTTTCGTCGTGACCAAATCTTTTATAGCGATGACATTGTGGTTTTCCTTTAAACCAACAATCCCTCTCCAAATGACTTTTTCTTTTACATATATCACATAAAGGATACTTGCCCTTTTTATCAAATTCTTTTCCTTGAGTTTCTTTATTCTAACAATTTTCTTTAAATTTTCTCCCACCTTCTTTAGATTTCTAAAATCGCATATTAACTTTAGATTGGAATGGATTTTCAATGTTAATCTCATAACGCCTTTCTAATCTTTTTTCATGTGCTTCTAGTAAACCCATTATTTCTACAGCTGTCAACTTATTTATATCTTTTGACTCCTCAATAGTTTCAATAATTGGATCATATTTTTTTGTGCAAGTAATTAAAATTTTTCCAACAACTTTCTTTTGAGGAACATCACCTTCATAAGATCTTAACTGATTTACTATTTTATCTATTTTTGAATAATAATCTTTCGCGGTCTTAGAATCTTTCATTTTTAAATTTTCAAAATTCCTTCTTAAAGTATGAAGATGGCAAGTACGTGCCTTGTCACTGTCGTGAAACTCCTCCTTCAGTTTATCCCAAACTTCTTTTGCTATTTTGGCTTCCATGATTCTTGAAAAATAAGTATCCGTCAAGCTCATTTGTAGAGCAAGTAGTGCTAGAGAATCTTTTTGTTGATTCTCTTTAAGTCTCTTCTTTGGTGCGGTAGATAAAGTGGAAATGTCATCTGGGTTAGAACACCCATCATTGACGACATCCCATAAATTTTGTGCACAAAAGTAGGTCTTCATTTTGATGGATCAAAAGTCATAATTGTCTCCATTAAATGTTGTAATAGGGATGGATGAACGGAAAGCGTCCGCGATAATATCTGATTACGCCCAATATCAATCGAATGTAACTCTGATACCGCTGATGGTTTTTGTCATAGTGATGAGATTAGATTAGATGGTTTAATATGTTTTGTATAGGATAATTTTGTAGGTAAAAAATAATTGGCCTTTTGTTGGAAGTTAGTAGTATGGAAGATTTTGGTAGAATGTAATTTAGTAGACAAAGTGAGTAGGAGAAAGGAACTTTATTAGAATGACAATGACTTTTCCTTACAATGGCTTTTTAGGCTTACA